CATTGTGGTAAACTGTGGTCAATGTCATGAGACAAAGTGTATGTGAACTGCTGTATGGAAAGTGAATTTGCTCTGTAAACTTTCACCCAAATCACAATTAAAAAAAAAAAAAAACTTGATTGTGAACACTGAAATTTGAATGTCATATAAGTTTCATGTGTCATGAGTTAAGATTTCTTCAACCATTTAAAAATGTAAAAGCCAATCTCAGCTTGCAGGCTATCAGAAAATAGGTGGGCCATATTTGGCCTGTGGGCTGTAGTTTGCCAATCCCTGATTGAAGACCATTGCTTTTAATGTAGTTATTGATGTGGTGGGATTTGAATCTGCCGTCTTGCTCTTTGTTTTCTCTTTGTCCCATCTGCTCATTAGTCCCTTTTTCCACCTTCCCTACCTTCCTTTGGACTTAACTGAAATAGTCCTTCACTATTGGCTTATCAGCTAGACTTTGTTATATTTCTCTTAGTAGTTGCTCTGGGGTTTATAGTGTGTACAATTTTAATTTATTACAAAATACTTTCAAGTAATATTATTCCATTTCACGTAAAATATGTTGTTGTTGTTGTTGTTATGTGCTGTCGAGTTGGCCCCAACTCATAGTGACCCCTCCTTGGGTTTCCGAGGCAGTATCACTACAGAAGTAGATTGCCCCATCTTCCTTCCAAGGAGTGGCTAATGGGTTTGAAACTCCAGCCTTCTGGTTAGCAGTCAAGTGCCTTAGGCATTGTGCTACCAGAGCTCCCACAGGATTTCTATGGAAGTAGATTGCCCGATCTTCCTTCCGAGGAGTAGCTGGTGGGTTTGAACCACCAGCCTTCTGGTTAGCAGTCAAATGCCTTAGGCACTAGGCCACCAGAGCTCCCCTTATGATGATTTAGTGCCTTGCAAATTTTCAAAGCTGGCCTATTAGTTGTGGTAGTTAACTTGTAGGTCAATGTGGCTGGGCCTGGTTTTGAGTGGCTGGGCAGTTGGTTGTAGTTATTCCCCATGATGAGATTGGCAATCATCAACATGCTGGAATCTACTGGAGCAGCTGAGCTGCATTAGGGATTTGGTCTGCCTCCAGTACATAAGGAGAAGTTTTGAGGAAGATCTCTGCATGCTTAGACTCTGTATGTAGCCCAGTCTCCAGTCAGCAGCCTCTCATGTTACCTGCCAATATTGGGACTGTCTCTGGACTGGAAATAATGGCCTGCCATCTTGTTTGGTAGTCTTGGTAGTGTATCATTTTATTTGAAGACTTTGAGTTTGTCAGCTTTAGCAGACAGCAGCTACCTGACTTAAGGAAAGCCTCTAGCTGCAGTGGGCCAGAAGCAGGAGGCAGAACTGAACCCCAAGGTTGACGGACTTTTACCTAGCTTCTAAAGCTGGCACTTTGAACTTGGACTTCTCACCTCCTAAATTATAAGAGAATAAACTCCTGTTTGTTATAGCTATCCATTTGTGGTATGCCTGACAGAGTGGTCCTGGAGGTAACCAAGATATTCATTCAAAAAGTTTGTTTGTATATGTGTGTGTAGAGTCCATTGAATTTTCTGTACAAAAGATTATGTCATTTGCAAATGAAAATAGTTTGAAATATTTCTTTCCATTCCAGATTTATTTTATTTTATTTGCCTGGAAATAGTTTCCATAATTTCTGGTATATTTTTGGAAAGAAATGATAAGATTTGAAATCACTGTCATGTTAGGTACAAGCATTCAGTCTTTCACATTAGCTGTAGATGTTTCATAGATGTCCCTTAGCAGGTTGAGAAATATCCCTTTTATTTCTAATTTCGTGAAAGATTCCCCTCAATATTTTAATTAAGATGTTATTTACACATTATGCAATTTACCCACTTAAAGTGTATGCTTCAATATTTTCAATACATTCAAATAATTGTACAAATATCACCACAATAAAATTTTAGAACATGTTTATCACCCAAGAAAAACACCTTTTGGGAGGCGGGGCAAGATGGCGGACTAGGCAGAAGGATTGCACAGACCCTCATCAACAAAGAAAAGGGAAACCAATTAACACAGACACAGAAGATAATCTTGGACCCCTGAGCCTTGAAGGAAAGGATGCAGATTTGGA